TGCTGGTCCCCCTACGTGCTGGCCCTGAGAGTTATAGACTCAGATCTCTATTCCTAATCTTGAATTGTGCCTTTTCTGATTCTATGGCAGACCCCAAGAGCAAATGAAGAAAACTAGAATTGGTAATTAAAAGTTAATTTATTTTGTACAAAGGTGATTGGTGTCCACTAGACTAATAGTGGCGATGATTTTGCCATTTACACAAATGCTAAATCATTGCGTATGATACCGTTAGCTGATAGGATGTTGCCTGATGTCATGGGATGCCAATTAGACCACAGTTAAAAAGTCAATCAGAAAAGTGGATCTGGGTCCCTCTGCAGAATTCTGATGTAGTCAGTCTAAAGAGAAGCTGGGAAAATCTAACATTTGGCCAATGCTAGTAGCTAAGAGGGAGATTTATAGCTATCTGGGCTACACCCCAGCTCTTGTATGCAAATCCATTGCTTGATCTTCCGCCTTAAGAGAGAAGAGGAAAACTATACTTAAAACAAGCTAAAGTAAAGGAATCATAAAAATTGGAGTAGAAATGAATGAAATAGAAATAGAGACTATGAAATTCATAATGAAAGTCAGTGAAAGTCAATGACACCAATAATGTTATGGTCACCTGCAGAACCAGGTGGATGCAAAAATCTGGTCAGAAGTAAATGTGGATGAAGGCACAGATATGCCTCACATTCTGAGATGGTTTATCACTGACATATTGAGGTCTCTGGAGAGTGCAGAGCAAATGATATTAGTATGTGTGAAATGAATTGGGAGAACATGGAGGGAGATTGATCTGGGTTTTTTATTTTTTTTCATTAAAAGAAGCATGAGCATTTTATTTTTTTAATTTTCTTTTTATTATTATTTATTTTTAACATCATTGTTATTTTTAAACAATGTTTGTTTCCCCCCACCCCCAGGTATAGTTGCCACAGAATGTCCTTCATCAATGCACCCTTGCACCCTCACCACAGTCTCCTGTGCTCCTTCCTCCCTCCCTGTGACCCCTCTCCCGCCTCCTCCCATGCAGGATGTCTCTGATTTATAATTGTCCATTTGTTTTTGTTTTGTTGTGTTATATTTTGAATTGTTAGTATTTTTTCCCCTAATGTCTTATTTGGTTTCCCTATATTCCTCCTATAAGTAAAACCACCCTATATTTTTCTTTTTCCTTCTGACTTATTTCACTGAGCATAATTCCTTCTAGCTCCATCCACATTGCTGTGAATGGCATGAGTTTATCTTTTTTTAATTGCTGAATAGTACTCCACTGTGTATATATACCACATCTTCTTGATCCAGTCTATTTTTGGGCTTTTTCCAGGATTTGCCTATTGTAAATAGTGCTGCAATAAACATAGGGGGACAGGTGTTCTTTTAGATCAGTGTTTTTGTGTCCTTTGGGTAGATCCCTAGGAGTGGAATTACCAGGTCGTATGGTAGCTCCATTTTTAGTAGACTGAGGACCCTCCAGACAGATTTCCACAGTGATTGGGCTGGTTTGCACTCCCACCAGCCGTGCAGGAGAGTTCATTTTCACCAGTCCGCCACATCTGCGCCAACATTTGTTGTTGCTAGTTTTTTTGATATGTGCCATTCTCACTGGTGTAAGGTGGTATCTCATTGTGTTTTTAATTTGCCTTTCCCTGATTGTAAGGGATGTTGAACATTTTTTCATATGCGTGTAGGCCATTTGCGTTGCCTTTTTGGAGAAGTGTCTTTTTAGCTCTTCTGCCCATTTTTTTTGACTGGATTGTTTACTTTGTTTTTATTGAGTCACCTGAGTTCTTTGTATATCTTTGTGATCTGTCCCTTATCAGTTGTATGGAGTGTAAAAATTTTTTTTCCCAATGGTTTGGGTTTTTATGGTGGTAGGGGCTGAGGGTTGCTTGATTTGCATCTGCCTCCACCACCGAACCTCACACCAGAAGAGAGAATATCTAGGCTTTCTTATCAGCTTGCCCAGAAAAGGGATATAGGGGAAGGGACAGATGATGCTTTATATCAGCAAACATGCAAAAATAGAGTCAAAGTCTATGTTGTATTTCACTACTGATATTTGACTGATGATTGAAATGTGCTGCCTTTTATTTAATTGAATTTGAACTTATTGCAGGAAACCCACTCTGGTTTTCTTACTGACAGCTGAGGGCAGCCAAAGAGGTGACTATCGCACTGAAGGCCTATTCCAGAGCATTGGCCTGTATGTTCTGAGAAGTGAAATGAGTCTCCTGGTCTGTCTCTGTGATGTCCGGGATTCTGAAGTGAATACAAGTTTGCTGGTGATGTCTTGTATTCCAGCTTCTGTCTATGTAGAGACATGTGTTACATGATTTATATTTTTGCATCCCAGGGGGCTCCAGTGGTAGCTAAGGTGTCCAGGGGGAGGGTGAGTCCTTCAGCACCATAGCATCTGGCAAAGGGACAGAAGACAGGGAGGGGAGACCCTCTTCCTGCAGGTAGACTATACGAGAGGGCTTAGGTTTGCCTCCATTCTGTAGCCAGGAAGCCTCATGGCCACGCTAAGCATGCTGGTTACTACTTCTGTGATGCAAGACATAAAAGGACATTTGAACACAAGGGTCACAAGTCCAGGTCCTGTGAGAGTCTAGTTTATGGCCAGCTATCGCTGCTCCAATGGTATATAGTGTAAATCTGAGAGGGCAGTTGATTGCATCAGAACCTAGGGCAGGACCTCCCCTGGTGGCACAGGTGGTTGAGCGCTGCGCTGTGAGGCTGTCCTCAGCCTCTGCTCTCACGGTTTGATCCCAGCCGGCTGGCGAGGGTGCCACATGGCACGGCAGACCTATCCTGTCTCGCCCGCTGCTTCCCTCAGCAGTGTATTTCGTCAGTCTGCCTGTTCTGTTCCCTGCTCTGTCTCTGGTGAATCCTCTCATCCTCCCGCGAATCTGGCCTGTACCCCAGTTCTTGTATAAATAAATAAATAAATAAATCTTAAAAAAAAAAAAAAAAGAACCAGGGCGATTTATGCCATCCTCGTAGACATCCTCGTAGTCTCAAGGGGGCCTGGGAGGAGGGCTCAAAATCCTCTGTAATGAGAGACTCTGGTGGGGAGGGGCACTAATGGGTACCTTTTATATATAGGCAATTAGAACAGATTCTAGAGATTTGTTTGCACAAGATGCCATTCAAGGTGAGACTAGGGCATTACTGAGAGTACGTAAAATTTGTAAATGAGGACTCTTGGCTCAGTGACCCCAAAAGGGTCAAAATTTGTATTAGCAATGTGGGGGCTGAGAGCTGCAAGAACTGTCTTGACAGTGCCAGGGGGGCATGGGCTCAGCCTACCCAATCATGGTCAAGAATTTACTGTTGTGGCAGTGTCTTGCTTTATGTGACCCTGTGTGAACCCACACCTCTTTTATTGGCTCCCTGTTTAGTATTTGTGTGTCTTGAATGAGAGTTTTTTGAATACCCTTTGATCCGTTGTTTCAATAATATTGATAATGTGGTTCTAAATGCCTGGCAGCAAGGCTTAGATTTCAGGGACATTTGTGAGAAGCCGTTGATTTTTTTCAAGGTTTAGACAGGCCATATTGGGTGGTTAAGAGGAGTCGCAAAGTGGGACACAGGAAGTGAAAAATAGACACATAGAAAAGAGCAGAAGAAAGATGGTTCTTTGGTGAGCAAACACCAACTGGCCCATCCCTCACACAGGTGGTCTTTCCCCTGAGTTCTCTCTGTCTCTCCATCTGTACGTAAGCACATGCATGTCAAACCTTGCAGAACCCATGAGCAGTGCTAAGAAGCTGAGTCCCATAGATTAAATGCTATTGTCAAATCTGCAGTCGGTATTAGGTACTAATCATTTGGCTTAATAATGCCCCTTGTAGTAATTGCTCCCAAGGGGCCAAGTGAGATTCTAGCCAGGATGGTGCCTCTGTTTAACTGTCCTGCCGTTAGTTGTCTTTCATCTAGAAGAGATTCTCAGCTTTTGTCTTCCTTGACCTTGACATTCTGAATAGGATGGATAGTTGTTCTGGAAATTGTCCAGACTCAGTTGGGATTTGCTTCATGTTTTCTTATGCACTTTTTTCCCAGCAGAGCTTTTAATCCTTTGGAAGACAAAGCCTTTTTCAATAGACCTTAATGTGGCATTGCTGCAAAGCCTGCCTTGACCTTTGGCTTGCATTGTTGAGTCTAGAGATTTTTTTTTAATAGTTTGGACACACATGTAAGGTATGTGCTTTCAAAACATTTCTCCCAGACTCTTGCTTCTATTTTTCATTCATTTTTTTTAAAGATTTACTTTACATATTTATGCATACAACAGCTGGGGTATAGGCAGAGGTATGGTGTGTGTGTGGGATGGGGAGGTGGGGTGATGGAGTGAGAGAATTCACCAGTGGGACAGAACAGGTGGATCTACTGGAATACACTGCTGAGGGGAGCAGCAGGGAGACAGACTAGGTCTGCTGAGCCATGTGGGTCAGCTCCCAGTGCAGATAGTTTCTTAGTGCTGAGACTAAAACCCTTGTACCACCAGGGAGGCCCGAAATTATTTTTTAACTTGAGGAAGCGCTACCTTTGAGGATTTATTATGTAAGACCTCTCTACACTAATCTGTGTTCCCATCTTTGCTCAGCAGTCACTTATGTTCTGAGGGAACTTCAGATAGAGACTACACCTCCTGAGCCTCAGCTTTGTCCCTGCAAAGTGTGCATGAACACAACTGCCTAGGATTGTGAGCATTACCAGAGTGGGCGAGTAACGTTTTGGCTTAGGGCTGACACAAAGTACGTGCTCAATAAATATATCTGTTACTCTTTTTCTCTTCACAGTATACTATAAAGTTTCCCTTTCTCCCATCCCAGTTCAGAAGGAGACCTTTCCAGCAAGGTGAACAGACAGAGCCTGCTGTTTTAGGCACCTTGCCCCTTCCTCCCCAAATCAGCCTAGGCTTAGCCCCGCCCTCCCACTAACACCACCCACAAAACACAGCCCACCCACGGCCCCTCCCACCAGTGCTGCCAGGGCAAAGCCCTCCTTTAGCGAGGCTGGAAGCTCATGGTGTAGGTTCTTGGGATGGTGGCAAAGCCCACGTGTTTGGGGGACACGTCGATGTCCTGGGGTGGCCGCGGGAACTTGAAGTGGAAGTTCTGCAAGATGGTGGTGAGGTAGAGGAAGAGCTCCATTCTAGCCAGGCTTTCTCCGAAACAGTATCGCTTTCCTGAGGAGGAGAGGCAGGAGGGCCCGAGATGAGACCTGTGGCGCTGCAGCTGGCCCACTCCCATATCTAGCAGCATCCTCTCAGGCAGGAGGGACTGGAGTATCCAGCTTGAGAGACTTTCAGAGAATGCATTCTGAGCCTCCCTTCCCATGCACAGGAGGTGGGGGTGAGTCATGAGGATGTAGTAGTGGAATTTTAAATCCCACATTTCCTCCTCCCCCTCAACACACATTAAAATATGGTTGCTGTGCTGTCCTCTCCATCTTAAGGATCTGAAGACTTTCAGTGACCTTGGCAGTACCCTTGGAAATGGGTACTGCCCCTCGCCTATCCTGTGACTCAGTATTTGGTGTTATGGGGGCTGCAGCAGGATGGCTTCAAGGTAGATAGTAAGAGGGACTTCCAAGTTGGAGGAACATAGCAGGGTACCCCTCAGAGAAGGGGTCCGGGAGGAGGCCCTGTGGTGAGAGGAGCCAGGGCAGCTGCTGAGGGGTCTTACCAATGGAGAAGGGCACGAAAGCATCACTCTTCTTAAACTGCCCCCGCTCATCCAGGAAGTGTCGGGGGTAGAACTCCCGGGGTTTGGAGAAGAAGTTGGGGTCCCTCAGCACGGAACCCAGCATAGGGAACACTTCTGTGCCCTGGTGGGGAGGGGAAGGAGGAGGAAGAGCTCTGATAAGGTGGAGTGGGGAATGTGTGTGCTGAAAACATGGGAGGGCTGTGGGGAATCTGAATGATGAAGAGAAATGGGAGGCATGGGAGTTGGGGGGCTGCGAGGGAGGAGTTTTGAGGGCCATAACATTCATGTCCCTGAGACGGGAAGTTTGGGTCCTGTGTCTCCCAGGATATGTAGTTCATGTGTCAGAAGCTGGGACACAGGGGGGGCATGAGGGTTCATTTCCCTGAGACAGGATGTTTGGGGGGAACTGGGGCGATACATATTCAAGGGGCTGTGAGTAGCAAGGCTGAAGGGACATAGTGGTTGGGGAAGTCTTAGTTTGAGGGGGTAGGACAGGACCTGGGAAATTTCTGAGGGGAAGGGGGTCTGGTCACAGGGGCAGGTGGGAGGTCCCTCTGGGCTGGGTGGGGCAGCACCTTGGGGAGGATGAAGTCCCGGAACTTGGTGTCCTTGGTGACTCTGCGAGCCAGGCCCATGGGGATCATATCACCAAATCTTTGGATCTCATGGATCACTGCCTCCGTGTAGGGCATCTTGGCTCGGTCCTCATACTTGGGCTGACGGTTCTTGCCAATCACCCTGTCAATCTCCTCATGGATCTTGGCTGGGGGAGGGGACGGAGTGTGTTTAGGTAACTAGGAGTCCTCAGGGTAGACAGGGTAATCCAGATATGTACACCCTGGTCATGGCATGCACGATCTGTGCGTGATGTTGAAAGCAAAAGTTGGCCATGTGCATGGTGGGCTCGGGTTCCTTTTCATTTGGCCATGCCAGAATCCGGGAGGTGCTTGGGGGGTGGGGGTGGTCTTCATGAGGGCGGAGTGGGCACTGAATGGGCCCTGAACAGGAGCTGTTTGTCAGTCCCTTCAGATATTGTCAATATTGAAGAGCCAGTGAGCTCGGGCTGTTGCCTGTCAGCTGGACTTTACCCATCTCTGGCTAGCAGGACAGGTGGGAGGCTCCAGGGCTCAGGAGAGGCGTGGGGGTGGGTGGTCATTGCAGTGGACTCAGCAAGCTTGGGTCTGTGGCCCCCACTTCCTTGCCTTCCTCCCCAGCCTTACCCTCCACATCTGGATGCTTCATAAGCAGCAGGAAGCCATAGCGGAGGGTGGTGCTGACAGTCTCGGTGCCCGCGAAGAAGAGGTTCAGGGTGGTCAGCACCAGGTTCTTCATAAAGAACTCGGTGTTGGGGTTCTTCTCTTCCTGCAGGGAGATATGGCTTCAGTCATATCACTCCCCATGCTCTCATGGACTTCTGGAGTTTTCTTGGGCCCCCCTCCACCCCCGTCTTGATCCAGCCCACAGCCAGTGCCCAGGCTGCTGGCTCTGACCAAAATGCTCTTCCCACACTCTTTGCAATGCTGAGTATTTGTCCCTTTCTTGTCAGTTTGTCATTTTTTGATGTCGTTGTTTATGATAGGGGCTGACTTTCTTGTGGCATCTGTCTGTCCTCACCCCCAGCCTGACTGTCCTCTGCCTGGCTTGGCCCTCCCAGCAGGCTCTGGCCCTGGGGTGTACCTCCTTCATGCGGATGAGGAAGGAGTCGATGAAGTCCCGGGGGGAGTTGGGGTCCAGCGTGTGCAGGTTGCGCTCCACCTTCTTGGCTATGAAGTCCTCCAGCCCCTGCAGCTCCTTAAAGGCCTGTTGCTGGGGCCCTGGCAGGTGCTTCATCACGGAGGAGAACATCTCATAGAGCTGGGGGTGGGAGAGAGGAGGGGGGGATCTGGATTGGGGGGCTCTGTAAAGTGGTTCAGTTATTGAAGTGAAGCTGGTGGTCCTTTGTTCAAATGGGGGCAAAATCTGTCATATACGAATGGAGTTCCTAAGGGCATCTCTGTAGGGTTTAAATGGGCTTGGGACTCTTATTTGGGTGTTTGGAGAACAATCTATCCAGGTGTGTGTGTGCTTGGGGGTCTTGGCTGGGGTACTGTCCAGATGTCCAGTTATTTAAGGGAGCGGGGGAGGGGCATTTGTTCACTTAGTCCAGGGACTGGTGTGAGATGTTTCTGTGTAGCTATTGAATAATTTTGGTGGGAATGGATGTTGTAGCACCAGGTGTTCAGATATTCAGGAAGTGGTCACCTGCTGAGATGTTAAGGAATTCAGGTGAGAAATGTAACAGAGAGCACCTGTTAGATATTAAGGTGAGTGGGACAGGAACTCTAGGTTGCTTGTAGACAGGGGCGGTGCTTTCAGATTCTGATTTTGCTTGTGGGGGAGGCAGTGAAGGCACCTGTTGAGCCATCCAGGTGTCCTAGGAGACCAGGTGTTGGCTGCGCTGGGGGCTGCTTTGTAGGAACCCTGACTGGAGCAGGGTGGGGATCTGGGACACTTGGCTCCCCTTGCAGGAGTGCTGACAGGTTATGGCCTGGGCATGGTAGAGCCTCAGGCTGGCATGGGTTACCTGCCCGGTGGAGGTTGCTGTGAACTGGAAGCTTCCCAACATCATACGCAGCAATGACAGGAACTCTTTGTCCTCATAGTCGAAGCGGTCCCCGAAGACAATGGAGCTGATGACATTGGAGACACTTCGGCTCAGGAAGAAGGTGGGATCGATGAAGGCACCTGCAATGGGTCCGGGAGAGACAGGGATGTGGGTCTGATGCGGGTCGGGGAACTGCTGGAGAGCACCCAAGGGACTAACCAGCCTCCCCAGCACCGGGTGTCTCCCCCGGTCCCCAGTGCACGCTTGCTCAGAGCATTTTCCTCCTCCAAGTCCTGGGCCCCCTGCTCACCTTTTGTGTCCCGGATACCCTCGATGAGGTAGCCAGCCTCCTCCTGGATGCGTTCCTCGATGCCGCGCTTGCCCAGGCCAAAGTCCCGCAGTGTGGCGATGGAGAAGCGCCTCAGCTGCTTGGCACGTTCGCCATTGCTGAATGCCACGCCTGTGGGCAGCGGGGCAGCAGCATTGAGGGCAGGAAGGGCAGCGTGGACCGCGGAGGGCGCCCAGGAGGCCGGCTCAGGGATGTGGAGGGAGGTGAGCAGAGAGGGAGGGCGTGGGTCAGAGGGGTTCTGAGAGAAAGGCCCGTGCATGGGGACGAAGGGTGAGGGAAGAGGAGGTGAAGATGAGGGGGTTGGAAGAGTTAGGGGGAAGGAGATAGAAAGGTAGGGAAGGCGAGAGGAGAGAGAAAGATGAGTCCAGCAGGAAGGAGGGAGGGGAGAGGAGGAGCAGTTTGGTGTGTCTAGAGAGGGAGCTAGGGAGGGAGAGAAGTTGGGAGAACAGACCCAGGAGTGCCAGGTCAGATGCACAGAGAGGTGTGAAGAGAGGGAAAGATCAGAGGTGGCGAGTGGAGCTCTGGGGATTTCCAGGCAGAAATGATGCCTGTTTCTAAGTCAAGGCAGGGAGAAACATGGAGAAGCACGGAAGCTGGTGTGGAGAAAAAGCCAACAAGTCACACAGAGATAGAGGACCAGGATTCCAAAGCAGAAGCTGGTGAGCTCCTGGAGGTCAGGGGGACCAGAGTCTGTATGCAGAAACCCTGGGCAAGGTAGGAGGACACAGGCGAGGCGGCCCTGAGCAGGGGAACAGAGGAGACCAGAGTAGGGCCGGGCCAGCCCTGAGAGGGAGCGAGTCCAAAGAAGGCTGGAGAAACTGAGGCCATTAGTGGGTCTGACCACACTCGCCTGCTGGGGTCCCTCACCATAGCCTTTGAAGAGCCAATCGAAGGTGGCCTGCTCTCCCCGTCCGCTGAATTCCTCAGCCTGGTCCACCAGGGCCTCCTTCACAGCGTCATGGCCGCACAGCACCACAATCCTCCGGGTTCCCAGGTGCACGGTGAACACTTGGCCATAACGCTCACTGATCTGAGGGAGGTGAACGGAAGGGGTTTCTGCACTGGCCCTGCTCCCAGGCCTCCTTGAAGTGAGGCATCCCCATCTGTATATCCCCCCTTGCCCCGTTTGGACAGACAAGGAATTGGACATCCCAAAAGCTGGTCTTTCCTAGCTAGGACTCTGACCTGAGCCCCCAAACTCCCCTTTCCTGAGACCCTGGTCCAGTCTCGTTGATGCCCTGCCATAAAGTCCCAGCTTCCTGACAGTCCTCCCAGCCCCCCATCTCCCCGCCTCATGACACCTTCATGAGAGAGTTGTACATCTGCTCGGTGTTCAACTGCAGGTAGTTCCCTATGAAGGGCAGTGGGGTGGGCCCCGGGGGCAGCTTCCCCGAGAGCTTCCTCTGCTTCCAGACGGACATCACGACCATTATGGTCAGGCAGGCCAGCAAAGCCACCAGCAGCAGCCCTGAGGCCAGCATGGTGGCGCTGAGTGAGATGGTCAGGTGGCGATGGCCGGGGCGCCTGCCTTTATATTATCTGGGAGAAAGGGAGGACTTCAGCCCTGATTATGTAATTGTCTCATTTCACCTCCCAGCTACACCTACAGCAGGCTCCCTGCCTACTTTGGGACACAGCCAACAAGGGAGGAAGAGGGGCCCCTAGGGCAGATTGATCGGGAGTGGGCTGAAGACTGAATTTGTGACCCTGAGGAGGGGCCACCCGGGGCTGTGTACTTGGGGGTAGTGGTTACATTGCGGAAGGGAAGATTTTGGACTATTTGCACACAGGAACCTCTGATCTTTGATTTGGAGTCTCAGAAGATTCAGAGAACTGGATTTAAGGGTAGTGGAATGAGACAGGATGGGGAGCTACAGGTTTGGGGGTCTTTCGCTGGGAGGGCTGTAGGCTTAAAGGCCTTAGAAGGGGAGATTCCAGGGAATGACTTTGAGGGCCTTGGAGTGAGAAAGTCCCTCCGGGTGCTTGTTGTCTAGTTCCTGGGAGGAGAAGTGTCCAGGGAGTCCTGTGAGGGATCAAGCAGTGAAGGACTAATGCCAGGAGGTGACCTGCTTTTGAGTTGGATCAATACCTGCTGCCTATGATGCCAGATGCCAGAGGCTTTTCGGCACTTCAGAGGCCATCCCTGGTTGGGCAAGGAGCGAAAGTCCAGGGCAACATTGAGTGGAACTTTCCACGTAACAGGAGAGGGGAACTTGTGGTCTCAGGTGGCAGAAGCCCTGAGCAGCACTTGGGAAGTGATAACCACCACCAATCTGGTACCAAATAATGCCAACTGGCTCAAGGGTTATAATTAACTGAGTTCCACTGGCTTCCCACCTAGATCCTTTGGGAAGCTCATATGTTGGTTGGATCATTCTATTATTTGTTATTCTTACCATTACTACTGTAACTGTGCATGTTTCCTGTGTTTCTTGTGGGGATACTGAGGACAGCAAACAGAGTGGGCAGGGTGGACAGTGTGGACAGTAAACAGAGTGGCTGTGCTCTGACCCCTCTTTCTGGGATGGGGATTCCCCACAGGTGGAAAACGAGCATCTAGAATGAGAAAGTGATAGTTGAAGTTGCCAAGTCCCATTTAGGGGTGACTCCTGGTTTGTCAGAGCTGCTGCCAGCGGCCGGGGAAGTTAGAGCAGGGGAGGTTTGGGAACAGAGATGGATGCTGTGTGGAGATGTGGAGAAGAGACGAGTGGCCTGCTCTCCTTCCTCACTGATATTGTTCCGTAATAATCAAGACACTTGCTCTGTGGTGTGCCCTAACTGTGAGGGTGTGGGTCAGTGCAGTTCAGACTAAGACTCCGTACAGCCATTCATGCACGGTTGCACAGGTAGTAAGAAAGGGAGCTGGGATTTGAACTCTTTCCCCTTCTTCCTCCATTGACTGTGGCGGCAGGTAGAGACTCCTGCAACAGGGGGTGCTGAGCTTGGCATCAGCCTTGGATACAGGGATTATGCCAGCAGGTTCTACGAGTGACATTAACTAGTTCTGGGGTGGCGGGAGGGGCATATTGACATTGAGCTTGCTTCCCGGTCGACACTAGGATTGAAAACAAATTAGCACTGAAATTGATACCAGGAGAGCATTAATGGAACCACTTCTGTTGCCAAGAGGCTGTGAGAGCAAGCCAAGTAGCCATTGAGTTAGGCTTCAGGAGGGCATGAGGGTGACAGGTGTAAGCTCTGAGGTTGGCAATAGCAGGCTATGACATGTACCCCGGGTGGGTGCTGAGATTGGCCCCGTGCAGGTCTGGGCAGGCTCTGAACAATGGACCATCCAGCCCCATGCCACCTCTAAGCTTAGCCAAGTGCCAGTGGGTGAGGTTGGTGCTCTGGGACTTGCATCAGGCGGCAGAGCTCTGAGTCCAAAGTGGAGGGAACAGAGAGCAGAGGCCAGGGTAGAGAGAGGCAAGTTGTTTGTTGGTTTTAGACCGGGAAGAGGAGGGAAGGAGGATTAGCACAGGTCTGGCAGGTATGGAGGTATCAACTCCGCTAATCCCCATCAGCAGCCTGCACCTGGGCTGGCCACGAGCCGGGTTACCTCCTCTTCTCCCTTGCTCCTAGTCAAGCAGGGGGTAGAGATGGGGGAACTTTTTTCTTCTTGCTCAAATTTTATTAATTTGTTAGTTGTTTACATCTCTGTGACTTTGGGGTACACTTCCCACCTCTATACGTGCACATGCTTCACTCACCTGCCACCAGACTTTTTTTTTTTTAATATTTATTTATTTATACAAGCACTGGGCACAGTCAGAAGTGTGGAAGGGTGACAGAATTCACCAGAGCCAGAGCGGGGAGCAGAGCAGGCAGAAGGACCAAAGCACACTGCTGAGGGGAGCAGCGGGCGGCAGGAGAGGTCTGCGTGCCATGTGGGACCCTCCTCTGGTGGCCGGGGAGTAGCCAGGGATCGACCCGGTGCTGCAGAGGCTGTGGGCAGCTTCGCAATCCGGCGCTCAACCACTGCGCCACCTGGGAGGCCCTACCAAACTCTTGTGGCAGTGTCCGAGCCCCTTCCTGTCTCTTCCTCCCGGCCCTGTCTCCTCTGGCAACCAGTGTATTTTTCACAGAGTTTGAGAATTATTTTCACTGGGCTATGCCAATTTGTGTGGTTTGGTTATTTACATCCTGCAAATGAGTGCACTCACTTAAAGACTTATGTCACTTCTTTTTGTTGTTTTAAAGATTTTTAAAAATTTATTTTTACGTAGAAGAACTGAGGTATAGGCCAGATGTGCAGGGGGTGGGGGAGTGAGAGGAGTCACCAGAGACAGAGTGGGGAGCAGAACAGGCAGATCTCCTGCAATACACTGCTGAGGGGAACAGCAGGAGAGACAGGAGAGGTCTGCTGCGCCATGTGGGTCAGCTCCCTGGCCAGGGATCGAACTCTTACTGCAGTGGCTGTGGATAGCTTTATAGTGCTGCGACTTAACCCCTTGTGCAACCAGGGAGGCCCCCTTATTTCATTTCTTTTTTTTTTTTTTTTTTTTCATTTACTGATACAAGCACTGGGTACAGTCAGAAGCACGGGAGGGTGAGAGAATTCACCAGAGCCAGAGCAGGGAACAGAACAGGCAGGCTGACGAAATACACTGCTGAGGGGAGCAGCGGGCGGCAGGAGAGGTCTGCCTGCCATGTGGGACCCTCGCTGGTGGCAGGGGATCGAACCAGCGCTGCAGAGGCTGCGGGCAGCTTCGCAGCCCAGCGCTCAACTGCTGCGCCACCGGGGAGGTCCCCCCTTATTTCATGTCTTATAATCACTCCAAGATCCATCCAGTTCATCCCAAAAGGCATGTGTTTGGTGTTACCTCTATGGAGAACAGTATAGAGAGAGACATTAAAAAAAAAAAAAAAGGAAATATTCTGTGTTCCAGCAACATCACTACAAGGTATTTACCAAAGAATATGAAGGCTCTAATTCGAAAAGCACGTGTATGCCCGTGTTCCTAGCTTTATTCACAGTAGCCAAGACCCGAATCAGCCTAAGAGACCAATGACAGCCGACTGGGTTAAGAAATTGTGGAGTCTGTCCTTGGTGGAATATGCCTCAGCTGTTAAAAATGATGAAATCATGCTTCGGGGGCTTCCCTGGTGGCACAGGTGGTTGAGCGCTGCACTGTGAAGCTGTCTGCAGCCTCTACAGTGTGGGTTTGATCCCCACCAGTCAGGGAGAATCCCACATGGCATGGCAGACCTCTCCTGCCTCGCCCGCTGCTCCCCTCAGCAGTGTATTTCAGTCAGTCTGCCTGTTCTGTTCCCCGCTCTGTCTCTGGTGAATCTTCTCACCCTCCTGCACATCTGGCCTGTACCCTGGTTCTTGTTTAAATGAATAAATCTTAAAAGAAATAGTGCTTTGGGGGACCTTGTTTCTCAGTGAGATTGGCACCAGAAAGGCCATGGAGTGTTTGTAAGCTGGTTGGGGTACAAGGAAGTGGGGGTGGGGGCAAGCCTGGGAAAAGTGCTTGGGGACAGAGGCCAAGCGGAATTTGACTTTGTTGATGACCCTAGGATTTGGCAGGAGGTCAGCCTCTGACCTTGGTGTTGCCTTCCAAGGCAGGACGTATGCAGTCATGCGGGGCCTGGGGCAGCTTCTGCAGTGAGTGGTGAGCCCAGAAAATCCTTTCTCCTCCCTGGGCCTCAGTTTCCCATCTGGACAACAGTCCTAGCTTTAGGAGCAAGATTAAGACATGCGTTGGAGTCCTGACCTTCCCCCTCAGGGTTGTGTGACCTTGGATTCACCTCTCTGAGCCTGAAGGGGCCTATGACCTTAGTTTCTTTTGTGGAGCCACTTGATGCCTGTGACGTGTTGAGTGCTTAATCAATGCCAGCTGTTCTTCTTCCTCGTCTGTGGCATGAGGGAGCTGGACGAGAAGCTTTCTAAAACTCTCTTCTGGATTTTACATTCTCTGGTCTAAAGTTCTGAAAGCTTTCCCTTGGAGAAAGAGGGAGTCTTTCTTGTGTTTCTCCTTTCCACATCTGTACGGGTGTGTCATGCTAGGTGGATGTTTGGGGTGTCTGCGTATGACTGTAATGTGTATTTCAGCATGTCCATGTGATGCAGGGATTGGTGCATGACATCTGTCTTTGAAGGAGCGGGGGACTTGTGCACAAAGACTCACAGCCACAGGACTGGCAGGCAGGAGCTCGGCTCTTGAGCTGGCCAGCATGAGCTGGCAACCACAAGACAGGTGAAGAGAAAGAACAACGCTTGTAGTCACCTCACACCTCTAGGTATGAGGAAGGTGGCGAGGAGACAAAGTAGGGCAGTAGAGGGGCAGGGGGCAGAGGAAAAGTACCCCAAAGAAGGAAAAAGCCCCCAGGAAATTCTGAGATGGGTGGAGTGTCCCCAGAAGCCTTATACAAAGAACCCAGCTTCTTAACCTGGCCTCCTCCCTTGGACCCCCTCCTGCTGTCAGGCGTCTGTTGCATGGAACCTGAGCTTGCTAAGCTTCAGCCCCAAGTGCGGCGATTATTCCTCAGTCTCTGGGACACAAGAACCCACC